GCTTGTAAGGATTTGGATTACGTTCCAATTTATTATGCTGAAAAAAAATTAAAAACAAAATATGAGATGAAATAAATAAAAAATTTTAATTTATGGCATAATGGATAATATAGTATCTACCAAACGCTTAACGTGCTCGATCAAAGAGATAAATCCATCGGTATGCTTGGATGGGCTAGTACCGACACCATCCGTCTCCGACATGCGATTCCGAGATACCCGCCGAGATCGGGTCCGAAATGTTTTCCACACCTCTTGTTTAACAAACACATATCCGTTATTCTTATGCTTCAGCTTGTTAAGCTTGTCGTCGTATCGCCTACATGCTAAATTCTCCCACGCATCCTTAATTAGTGCATAGACGATCGCATCCCACAAAAAATACTTCTACATGAAGAAAAAATAATATTAGTATTATTCATGTTAAATTAACATTTAAATGAAAGATAAGTAAATAATTAATATGTTATCCTAAACTCATTGAAATAGAAGTCTTTCGTCTCCATGAAGACGAGACTTTCATATAGAGCTACGGACATCTAACCGTTCCTTAATTAGTGCGTTGATGATCGCATCCCACAAAAAAGTAGGAAAAAATAATATTAGTATTGTTTTTGTTAAATTAACATTTAAATGAAAGATAAGTCAATAATTAATATGTTACCCTTAACTCATTAAAGTAGAAGTCTTTCGTCTCTATGGAGACGAGACTTTCATGTAGAGCCGACGAAATCCAACCGTTCCTTAAAAATTCTAGAATTTTTGTAGAGCACTTGCTTGATGGAATCAAATTATCAAACAAAATAAATAAATAATGACTACATTTAAATAAATGAAAGTATAAAACTAATTATCGCATGTAAAATATATTACTTACCGAGTTATCCATGACTTAAATGGTTCGTCCATCATCATATCTAGTAGAAATTTTTAGAGTCGAAGAAATCATAGTAGGATCATCTACAACGAGGGCACTAAAGTTGAGAACACTACTCGGAGGAGGTGCGGATGTGCCGACACTACTATTAAGTCCGTAGTCTTGGATAATTGGACTAGAAGTGCCATATCCACATGCACCACCATTATCAGTCGTACGGTCAACATCGGAGCTATGGCCACCGACACCGTGACCATATCTCGCCTAATCCATAAAGCATCATTCAAGAATAACAACTAAAATAGTTTAACAAATGAATAAAAATTTGACAAAAAATATATTATAAATTATTTTGAATTAAAACAAATAGAATTCAACACATTCAAAATGCACAATAAACATAAAAAAGATATAATAGATAAAAAGATTTAATTTAATTAATACAATAAATAAAATTTATCTTTAATTACAACTATCATAATAATCTTCTAAGTTACGATAATTGTCAAGATACCTTAACTTTCTTCCGTCCATACATTCAAGATGAGTAATAGTAAATGCAATAAATTCTTCAATCTTATTCACAAAGTCATTATTTAAATGCCAATCACGTAAACCTAACATATATCCATTCATGATTGAATCTCATTATTTTATTTCTATATTTCCGAGGCAATATAAACTTATTTAATTAATAATTTTTCTAAATATTTAATAAAATTTTAACGAGTCTCCCTTGTAAAGTGCACCTTTCCCTATTAAAAAATACTTCAAAATGATCACACCAACAACAAATTGAATCAACCAATAATCAATTTCCACACACCGAGACCAATAATTGCCTTCGATACTCCCAACTTCATCATAGAGTAAAGAACCAACCTTATTTCTCCACAATTCTCGAGGGTCTCTAAACCATCGGGTTCGATACACTATAGCTTACCTTGGCACACTTCAATAACTATATACGAAATAATTAAACAAATTAATTCTAGATCTAACCTCATTTAAAAATATTTAATATAAATAAATTTCTAATTCAACTAATTAAATAAAATTAACCTAATTAATTAATTAAATCAAAATCTAATTAACTTAATTAATTCTGATTCTAATCAAATTAAATTTTATATAATAATTAATTAAAATTTTCTAATATAAATAAAATTTTAATTCAACCAATTAAACAAAATTAACCAAATTAATTCAATAAATAAAAATAAAATTAACTTAATTAATTCTAAGTCCGACCAAATTAAATTTTATGTAACAATTAATTAATAATTTTTAATATAAATAAATTTTTAATTCAACCTATTAAACAAAACTAACCTAATTAATTAATTAATTAATTCAAATTCAAATTAACTTAATTAATTCTAATTCGAACCAAAATAAATTTAATATAAAAATTAATTAATAATTTATAATATAAATAAAATTTTAATTTAATAAAATAAAAAAATAAAATAATTAAATAATTAATTATAAATCTAATTAACTTAATTAGTTTTAATTCTAACCAAATTAAATTTAAATTAACAATTTCTAATATAAATAAACTTATTATTCAGCTAATTAAGCATAATTAATCTAATCTAATTAATTAGTTAATTATATATCCAATTAACTTAATATGTTCTAATTCTAACCAAATTAAATTTAAAATAAAAATTAAATTAACTTAATTAAGACAACTTAAATAATTAATTAAAAAATTTAGTCTAATTCAACCAAATAAACATGTGATTAACCGAAATTAATTAACTACATTTAAATAAAATTAACTTAATTAATTAAAAAACAATTCATACTAAATTTAAATTATAGTTAATTAATCAATTAACCTAACAATTAAACAAATTTAACAAATTATAAATTAATCAACTAATGAACCTATCGGTTAACAAAAATTAACAATTTAATAAATAAATTAACAAAATAATAATTTAATATATGCACAATCATAAATCCAAGTAATTAAACTTAAATTAACCTAATAATTGCAATAAATTAACTTTAATCAAGCAAATAAAAGAGAGAAAAACATACCTAATTCGGGTGGAATTAAACCAAGAGAACCAAAAGAAAGGAAGAAAAAATGAGAGTTTTTTAGGAGAAAAGACTTTGGAGTGGATATAGATCAATTGAAAGTGGAGGAGTGGCGTTTCGTGGTGGTTTGAAGGGGGTGAGAGAACGACGACAATGGTTGGATTCGAAGAGGGACAAGAAAATGGGGGAGGAGAAAGAAGAAATGGGTTAAATTAGGGCTAAAAAATAGTGATAGATGTGATCTCGTTGCTATTCCATTGCTAATCCATATCAAAATATCGCCTAATTTTGCATAGTTGGATGCACATTTTTTTCACATATAACGATAAAAGTAAGTCCATCACCAATCCATCGTAATTTAACGGAGTATCGTTGCGAACTCGTTAAAAATTAGGCGAGCTTTTGTCTTTAAAAAATTTCACCTAATTTTACCTAAAATCTCTGCTTTAGCAATTAATTTTCCCATAATTAAATCATTAGAATGAAAATAGCGATGAATTAGTAAGTCTCGTTACTATTTTTCCTATCAAATATGTCACTAAACCATATTTAAAACTCCTAGAAAGATTTTACTTGTCAAACTTAGCGATATATTTGTGTTTATTGCTAAAAGATAGTCGTTATTCCATTTACTCCATCACTAAATTGTACATTCATTATTATGTCGTTATTTGCTTTCTATTTAATGATGGACTAATGTTTGTCATTAAATTATGTCATTATTTAGTGAATTTACGGTAGTTGATGGATATTCCATCGTTAAAGGATACGTCCCTCGTAATTTAACGATGAGAAAGCTATTAGTAAAGTTGAGAATTTAGATAAAATTAGGTGGAATTTTTGAAAAATAAAACTCGCTCAATTTACGATAGATTAGCTATGGACATCGATAATTTACGATGGAATAGCGATGGAACTTACTTCTATCGCTATATGTGAAAAAATACATGGCCATCCGTGCAAAATTAGTCGACATTTTGATACGAATTAGTGATGAACTTAAGTGTTCGTCATTCAAGCAAAGGGATCGCGTTTGTCGCTATTTTTAAACCCTAATTTAGCCTTCTTCTTCTTCCTTCCCCCTCATTTTCTTCTTCCTCTCCTTCTCTAACTCGCTACCACCATTCTCTTACCCCTCCAAATCGCCACCAAACTCTGTTTCTTCATTTTTTATCGATCCACATGTTAGCGTCGGTGCTCAAGATCCGGTCATGTTTTGATAAGTTTGAGTTATGGTATCATTGTATTACTTATTTTATTAATAATAATAAAAACTTTCTATTAATTCTTATTTATTTATTTAATAGAATTTGATAGAAGTTCATATGATATGCATTTGTATTAGTAATTGATCAAATGATGTGAGACAAATATTAATGCACATAAATGATATCATTAAATGTCTTAAATCGTAATATTGTCAAAAATGGATATTGAATAGATGCGGTTAGATTTATGAGTACTATGCTCATGCTTGTATGATAACAATATGAGATCTAACGCCTATTAAAATGATGATGCCGAGTCGGCACTTAGGTTATCTATGTTAGAGAACATATCACTAGACTTGACTTTCCATGAGAACCTATTTGGTTTAGTCTATTGAAATCTCATACGAGTATAAGCTGGTCCTTAGACTTAAAGTCATTATGGTTATATCATTAAAGGATTTATGTATTTTGACACTCGTTTCAATGGATCCGAGTAAATGGTTGTATGTAGAAGATTCGTTGAGTGTACTAGGAATCGATGGAGGTAGGTGAATGACTAAAATTGGACATGTCATTCCTTATATGCTAAAAGAGTTATCACATTGCACTTTGATAAATGTCCGCTTAAAAAATCTGTTGCCATAGTATAAGTAAACTAATAGAATATGCATGAACTAGATTTTTGTTTCTCTGCGGGTTGCATGTTGGTTCCTTGCCGTAATTTGCTGCTGTCAAAACATATTATAGGAATGAAGTTCTACTGTCTGCTCTTCATTTCTGATACATTTCCTTAATCCTTCTGTTAATTTATTTGTTTGTAGACTAGGTGAAGAGGCAACCAAACAGAAGAAACAGAGATTATGACATTGTGTAAGCCAATTGAAGGATCACAGTTGGTTAACAGCAGTCTCACCAATTTCTTAGAGGAAGCAGACGCTTCTGATGATGTTGTCTTAAAAAAAGTAGAACTGTATGATATTTTTTGCCCCCATGACATGTTTTTGCCGCAAGTCTTCCTATTCTTCAGTGTGGAGCTTGTATGCAAACTTGAACTATCTATGTCTAAAGCTATATAATGGATCGTGGTTGAAAACCAATGTGTCTCCGATAGATTGTTATTGATATCAGTTCAACTTATAAATGCAATCTTTGTAATTTTGGTGCCGAACCTATTCCTAAGAATGCTGGTGTAAATAACTGTGCCCGTTCCAGTTATCTGAGATGCTAATCTATTGGGTTACAAGCCACATATAGGCAAGTATGGAAACTCATTTGGGTGAAAGCAAGCATAAAACAACACAAATGCCAAATTCAAGATAACTATGGAATTCGCGTACCAGCTCAAGGTTGCCAACTTCTTCAGGGTAGGCCAATATTTGTGGTCTAATTTCTGGTGTGAAAGCTAAAAAGGGGGTTAGAGGTAAAGAGAGAGGTTGCATTCTGAGCACGCCATAGAGGTATAAATCAATATGTGTGCCATTCTTGAGCTGCATGGCTTGATAAACTGAAATTTCATAATGGGGGTGGGGTGGGGTGGGGGGGACAAGAGTGGGGATGTGATGGAAGAAGCCACTGAAATAGATCAAACAGCCTTTTGAGGATGTGGGCTTTAGTCATTTCTTCACTCTTTCTCCTGTTCTGACCACACCATGATTTTCTTGTTGGCCGTGCTTGTTTCTTTGTACTAACCAACGCATGGCAATAAGGGGTCGTTAGGGCCCTCATGTTCTTTAAAGATCTTGGAAAGAGATGTCCAATTCTCCTTTCACGTACAACGCCAACTTTTTTATGTCTAATAAATAAATGATTAAAAAGGCTTTATGGTTCTTCATTATAAAGAGTGCAATTCACCACCCTGGATCATTGTTATATCTAATATTATTTATTTTAATTTTTTTATTCAAATAAGTTATAAAGTAAATTCCATATTACGGAAAATTTGAACAAATTAGTTTTGTCTCTCATTTTTATTAATAACATGTTATCGTATGACTAATTAGATATTGGATTAAATTGTTGGTTTAATGAAATGTTTAATAATATAAAATTTATTTTGGATCGTATTATAAATCTTGTTTGACATCCTCATTCCTAACCCAATAGATTGCTTCACATGAAAAAGTAGTTAACTATTTCCCAACCCAAGTAGACATACTTTGGTTCAACAAAATTAAAGATAATGGAGAGCCACTCTTGTCGAATTTCTGTAGGCAAGAGAGGGAGACCACTGACCACTAAGCCAGTAGAAATAATTTCTTCTTTCCAAAGTCAAACTATTCATTCCCATCATCAAAATAACCCCCATGCTTTGTAACCTCCAAAGACAAGATCATAAATAAGCGCCATTCAACAAAAGTTGGTTTAGGGCCAAAAGAAATGATTAAAGATGCACCACGTTGCCCCCCACCGTCTAAATCACATAGTATTTTGTTTTTGTTTTCCTTCTCCTCATCAATTATTCCAAAACGTACACCTACGACCTTCCATTTACATGGTGACAATAAACAAGCAGATAGACACTTGAGACAAGTCTTGACCAATGATGAGACAACTGCAATGACTTGAATTTAATTCATAAAAATTTTGGTGTTATTTGATACCAAAATAAAAAAACAAGTGGCCGTGATACTACTGAGGGACAATTAATGGGTTAAAAAGTTAGGTAGGTCTCCAAGGCATGCGAGCGAATCTTATCGTATCATAGCCTTGTTCGAGATTATACCATGGTGTAGAATTAAGAATGAATAAACATACACTAATCACTTTTAATTAGTGGATAATGGGCAATGGACCTAAAAGAGATTAATTTGCTTAAGCATCAAGGCACCCACTCTCAGTGTCCGATAAAAATATTTCCCTCCATGAGATCGCCTAAAACAAGGAGACGTCAATTGTCTCTCAGATGGAAAAAGCAATTCCACCAATAGAACCTTCATTTCTACTTTGAAAAGTAATCTTAATTAGTATTATTGATCCACAAACCATGGCATTATATGACTTTTGGTTAATTACTAGAGGGAGGTGGTTTTATTAAGAACATATATATATATATATATATATTCAAGGTCAATGTCATCACATCATTTCTATGATTTTGTTCATGTCATGCTCCAGGCAAGAATCTTACAATTGAAATAAATCAAGGAAAAATCTCGGTGACAATACTAGTTCACTATTATTTCTTTCTTTCTTTTTAATAAGCAGCAAAAGGGCAATTAGATCACATCTCTTTCATGCTACATACTTTAAAAGAAAAGTGTAAAGAATCACTGATTAGATTAGCATTTATTGGCTGGTCTATTAATTATTTTGTCCAAAAAAAAAAATTATGAAGTAATTTTGTGCGGGCAACAGAATGAGTTTTATGACTCTACATATATATATATATTACTGTAGATGTAAAATTGATTTTGCGTAACAATAATTTTTCTACTAGGCCTGTCTTGGTCATCCTTATCCTCAGAGAAAGAAGGCAAGAACATGCCAACATAATTTTTTATCTGTCTGCTTCATTTTTCTTTCCTTTCTATTTTATATTTCTCCATATTCAATTTTTGTTACTTCGTTGTGGAAAATATTGACATGAAGAGAATGACCTCCTCATCAGTCTTCGAGCATAAAAATAAAAAAATAATTGGACTTTGTGCTTCCTTGGAATATGGTAATATATATATAGAGAGAGAGAGAGAGATCGAGTGCAACCGAAAATACACAACCACTAATTAATATAGTGTTAATTGTTTATAAATACCAATCACTAATTGAGTGTTGCTGTTTTATTAATCCAAGTCTCTCTATTATATATGCTACCAAGAGAGATTATTACGTATGCATATCTGATCTGATCTATATACGTAGACCAAACCAATTATATACTAGCTAGAATTTTAATTTTAATTTTAATTTTGTGCATCAATCAATTATAAATAAATAGTTTTATTTTATATGAAGCGGGTTAATTGGTACAATAAATGATTTCCTATATATGTTAGATACCGTATGGGTTGGAACTGAAGCAATTAATTATTCAAAACAGGAGTTTTCACAGACAAAATCATTGCATTGATGCTTGGGAAAACAGTTCAAATTCGTGGGTTGTTGGGCATGGCAAAATGTACATTTATAGCTCATTGTGACACTTGATGATACCACGTTCTGAATCCTTAGTTTACGAACGGATTGACAAAAATGGAATCATATTTATATAATTACCTACTCATAGCATTTTCTTGAACAGCTACAGCCGTGAAATAATTTAGGTGTGACTAGCTAGGCAGCTAGATTCACATTTTTAATTAATTTGCCTACGTCCTAGGCTTCTAGCTAAACCATGTGATTTTTTCGACATGAAATTTTGAAAATCGTAATATATAACTTTAGTTTTGGATTCAAAATTGTAACTTTGTCAACTTCTATCAAGATTTCAAAACAAAGCGCCAAAAGTATTGAATTCAATAGTTATTGACCAATCCGTGTGTGTATCGTTTCGCTCGTAAATGTTAATTAGGATTTAATGATCGATGAAGTGTTATCATGGTTAGAAGTTTAATAACTAGAGTTTAAAATGTAAAATCGATTTATAAAAAAATAAAAAAATAAATTATCGTTAATCGAATTAAATTGATAAGATTTTGTGTAGGTCATTAAAAAAAAAAAAAAGCATTTCACTAGAAAACAAAAGAAAACTATATGAACTGAGACCAATTGCCTTTATCTAACACGCATGTAACATGCAAGAAGTACTATTAGTGAAATACATTGGGAGGATTAAATCAGCTAAACTCCATAAAGCCTTAGAGTTGAATTAATAAATTATTGGCTTAAGAAGAATATTCCAAAGAGAAACAATAAAAAAAGGGAGACAATCAAGAAACTCTTAAACCATTCCTTTTGATCCAAATCCTTGGATCCTAAACTTTAAGAGCTCCTGCCCTCTTGTTTCATGTCATGCAGTACTTGTTGGACTAGAAGACGTTTGAAAATTTGTAGCTCTAAGAAATTTTTCATTCATGATACACGATCTTAGACCATAAAATATGTTTAACATGCATGATGTAATTATTATTTATGAGAGACTTTAAGCATCCTTAAGTTGGCCTGCTTCCCTTAACAAGGAACATGCTAGTTAGTCTAGCAGTCCTCGATCTTGCCGCCCTATTTGGTGGACTGGTCAAATTACTTACAAATTTGCTTAAAATGGCAAATTGTATGTTCCCACCTATCTGGAGAGAACTAGTTTACGTGTGTGTGTGTGTATTTTTCATGGGAATTTAAATTCTTTTTTTTTTTTTTTTTTTTTTCAGATTTCGCAAATAGTACGTAGCATTTTTTTCTCACTTTTGATGCAAAACTAAATTCATTTTTTCAATGATCAGAGACAAATTATCCACGTTATGATTAAAAGAGTTATCTAAAAGAAAAAATGATATTAATTACAATTTAATAATAAAATAAAAAATAAAAAAATTATATGGGCCGGAATTATATATTGGCGAAAGGTGTTCTGGGTGCCAAAAAAAGTGCATCATTTCTCCTATGTCGGGACCCTCTTTGCTTTGAATTTCATGCCTTTTATTGTTTCTAAAAAATTTAAAAGTCTTGTTGCTGCCTCTCCTTTTCTTTATGCCAACCGAAAGAGATTCTCTTCTTTTTTTTCCCTTCCAACGGTAGAAAGGATGTCTCTATATGGGTTGACTAAATGACTACATATATATTAACGTACCATACTATAACCTCATCACCAATATGCAATATTTCCATTGTTTTGACCAAAAAAACACCTAATTAAGTTGTCTCTAAGCGGCGGGTTGTATATTTATTCTTCCATGATAGAATAATTGATTCACCTAATTTACCTACCTAGGTGAATTTCTTTTGGTTCCTCCAAAGGATGCAGAAGAGTGAAAGTGTTCCATATTCCAATTACAATATTCTTGGATGGTGAGGGTTAGTGGACTTAGATTGATGATGTTTGAGACACTGCTTTGAAATTATAAAAGATTGTTGATTAACAATGGGTTATAAAGTAATTACCAATTAGTTCTTGGGGAACTTTTTGTTTCTTCTTTTCTCTAAATCAATCTTCGTTTTGTCACGACTACCTAACTACCTCTAGGTTTGCAAAATTTAATTTGCATTTCAAGATCTTTGATGATGAGCTTGATGTTTTGTCATAAGAAAGATGGATACGTTGGTTACACCATTAAAATTTTACTAAATAGAAAGCAAATAGTGATAGAATAACAACTGTCATAATCGACGACGAAATAGTGATGGACTAGCGAAAATTTATTTGCAGTACGACACTAATATGTCGATAAATTTGACGATAAAATCTTTTTAGAGTTTTAGAGACGGTTTAGCAATGAATTTGTTAGGAAAAATAACGACGGAATGGCAAATCCGTCACTATTTTCATTGTCATGATTTAGCGACCACTACAAAAATGTCATGCTATTTGGCAAAAATCTATTGCTATATGCAATTAAAGATAGATTAGAGACAATATTCAATCTATCACTAAAATGGTGGTCGTTTTTCTTAACGATTGGAAATTTTTTTTTTTTTTGGTCGCTAATTAGCCTCTCTATTATGTTGCTAAATCCATTACTATTTTTTTTTAAAATCAATTACCGTTTATTGGTAATTGTAACAACAAACAAATATAAACAATACCTTATTAAAATACATTATATTATTAAATAAAATTAAAATTATATAAATTAAAATAAAATAGATATATAAATGCGTTAAGATGTATAAAAATATTAAAAAAATAAAAAATTTAGTCTTCATTATCACCATCTTCCGCATCATCTTCCAACTACCGGTCGTTAAACGAAACGACCGACTACTAGGTTGTGGGATAGCGGGACGGACGAGAGGTAGTTGGAGGTTCTTTAACAACCTCATAACTCTCCGTAATTGAATCCGCATGTTGTTAATTTGATAAACCTATTGCTTGGATGATAGCTTCCAATGCCTTGATCCAATCTTCGTACTTGGATCGAAACTCGTTAGATATTACTACCGGGATATCGCAAAGTCGCAAAATGCGAGTAACACTAGGTCGTATAAATTTTGATGTCATACACTCTTTACCTCTTTTCTTCTCCAACGAGCATCCAAATATATCTTGAACATGTCGATATCTTGAGACGATGCATTACCCTCCTGTCGCTTTTTAGCAACTCGCTTCTTGCATTGATTGCACCCACTCCTAAGTCATTCAAATAATA